GAATTTATTGTATTTCCATGGTAACTTTTTATAAGACTGAATAGATGTCGCTACAAGAAAACAAAATGTGCTGCCATCTATCGGAATTTTTCATTTTATCCTTTTAGTTCCAGTTCGTATCGAGAGACGCTTAGATGGCAGCACTACTGATAAACAAGGAGAGCACTAGTGCAAGACAAGGACAGACTTATGCAATATAACGGACAAGGAGCGCACTAGTAAGTGACAGAGACAGCGATATATTTTAGTTCCATGATTTCACCGCTACATAACGCTAGCGTTTTAGGGTCCACGAAACGACTAAATTTTCATTTGGAAAAAAAACTAATTAAAGGAATTTATTTTTAAACTTTTGTAGCTTAATTTTCGTTCTTAGTCCCTAAACTTTCTCCTTATGTTTTATTTGACTTGTGTAATGCACAAATAAAAATTTACAAATTGTCTCTGTTAGATCGAACTACTCGCGCGAAAAATATTCAATTTCGAACAAGTTACTTTGCAAACCTAAACTAAATTTTGACAAATCTTGGTAAGTATTGCAATATTTTTAAATCTCTGTTAATTAATTTTTTAACCTTTCAATAAATTTTATAAAATTTCGGAAAAAAAGCGTAATCGCTTGTTCATGTTAAATTAATTGCTACGTCATCACGTTGACATTGATGATTTTCTCAACAGCAAACGACAATAAATCAATTTAACGTTACTTAATTCTTTAAGCATCGTTAAATATAATTTAGATAGAGAGCTCGAAAAAAACCGATTTTAACTTGTCCTTTGGCATTATCAAAAAGTACACACACAGGTGCTGTTTCTTTATTATGTCAGTACACAACAGAGATAAATAACATTCATGCGACAAAGTTTTTGAATTAGCAATTTTTATTTAAAATGAAAATAAGATGTACGTTAATATAAGTGTAATTATTTTTAAACACTGTATTCTAAATATTAAATTATTCTACAGCACTTTACATCTGTAAACAAACTATATGATCGTTTTACAGAAACGTATTAGACAAATTCAGTTGACTGTTAAACAAATGGACGACAAAAGGTACAATCGAAATGAAATAACTGCAATCTCCGACAAGAAATTCGCATTACTCGTAACCAGGTGAATTAATTACTGCAGTAGTTTTATTATTAACAATATGATTATTC